TTCTGGAAAAACCAAAAAATTTTTGAAGATTTTTTCATTTTTAAACAGTGGTAAAAACGCAACATTTCTCGGCTGGAAAAAAGACACAAAAATTCACAAGGAGTTCAGCTGCAAGTATTTAATTCTAGATCATCTGGATGACCAGTTGGGCATCACATGCGAGTGATGTTACTGAGATGCTCCTACACCTCGGATGCAGCTATACCAGGTGCCCTGGATCCTGGGCTGCATATGCCCAAGTTATTAATTGCATTAAAATAATATATGAATTAAAAAAAATCAACAAGATTCTTAATGTCACAGCATCATCAGCACGTCAACGGAAAGCTGTATAGTGCCTTGTCAAAACTGCCTGAAAATACGAGATTAGCAAACGCAGAAGAAATAAAGTGTCACCAATATCATCGAAGCTGTGAGTGCCTCAGTCCACTAAGATGTATCTATTTTGCCGAATTAGATAAATTGCAAAAAACAAAAAAGTTAATCTGTTCAAAGAAATACTTTGAACTTTTAACGCAAAAGTTAAAATATCGATTTACTGATTTGGAGTTTTCGAACTCATTCTGTTTTTTCAAAAAGATCGAAAAAAAGCTCTGCAATATAAAAGAATTCCTGAAAATCTTTGACCAGACAATTTAATCATCTAATGAGGGTTTTAAATGCCAAAAATACCAAGACCGCCTGAACAGTCGATGTGGGGATCACCTTTAGTGATGTTACTATGACGCTCTTACACAGTGGGCTTAAAATGCGAAACAGTTAAATTCCAAACAATCCAAAAAGTTAGAGGTAGTGCAGTCATCTCCATGCATATGAAATGGAGATGAGGAACAGACCTCGTCTGAACTCGTCGTCGAACGCTTTGTCGGAAACGGATGGTGGAAGTTTAACACGCGCATGGTCGCCTATTTTCTTTCGCCTAATCATTGTGTCTGGTTCTTCGACTTTTGTTGCTGCATCAGTCAGAAGTTGACTTTCTTTAATTTGTGGTTTTCCTGCAAAATAAGTTTTATGAACTGTTAATTACATCGGCGCTTTCAACTGAAATGGGCTGCAGAGCTGCTGAACATCCTAGAAAAAAACAGGGAAAAAGAAGGAATGAACCTGAAGAACTTTACCTCAAACACCTTCAAAGTAAAAAAAAAAGCTTGTACTACAGATACCTGAATGAATTGAAATGGAATTGAAAAAAAAAACCTGCAGCAGCCTCGTCGGCTTCTCGAGCTCGATCCGAGACCATTGGGTGCACGCCTTTGCCTAATTTTTCACCCTTCCTAGTGACGACCTTCACGGAACCACCTCGAGCTTCTAAATACAAAAGTATCATAAGTATGGCGCCGGTCCCATACATTTTTGAGATATAATTTAAAGTCAAAGTCAAAGCCTCCTTCGTACTTATTGCGGTATTTGGAAATAGCTCGAGTGGTGGCGCGTACGAGTAGTTCAAATACTCCGTAGTTTTTTTAGCTGAATTTCATAGCGGGACTCTCCGGCTATGCAGCTGACAACTTTTCCAGTTGCTTTGTCTAACGCTGCATCGCCTGGTGGTCATCTAATGACGATTCTGATTTTCGTTTTGTCTCTTGCGGAGAATACCAGCTCAATGATTCTCCTGACAATAAGCGCCTTGCAAGACTTTAGCAACAGCTTAAATATAAGCAAAAATATTCACTACTATGAGAAATGCAGGATTATGAGAAAATATTCAATATTGTGACAAAAATATTTACTATTATGAATGGGGAGAGGGTTAAGTGGTAAATTAAATTAGAGCTGCTTCAACCAAAACTGTAGGTTTCGAACAAAAATTGATGCCCTTCTTCCGTTTTTCAAAAAGTTAGTCCTTTCTTGAGATCGGAACAAAAATAAGATCGCTGATTATGGATATCCGATGGTTAAAAGCATTCACACTTTAAAAGAAAAATCTGTGTTTGGCTATTTAGGAAAGATCCAAACTAAGCGAGAAGGACCAACTTTTGATTTCTTTTTTTATTTCTTTGGCGCCATCGTAAACCACTTCACCCGGTTCACCTACTATGAATACAACATCGTCGTCAATATCATCCCTTTCCTTGCAACCTAAATGACCAGGAAAGCCCAGCGATCCGAGCGATTTTGATGGTTTAATAATTAAAATAAGAGGATATTCCCAGCCAATTATAACAGAAAGCTTTCTATATCAGAAATGCAACACAGGATTCCAAGTAAAAGGGGAAGAACCAGATCTATGTTGTACAGGATTTAGATATGCGCCAGAGTCACCGGCCGGAGATGGCACGTAGAAAGATTGCCGGTTGGCGTAAATTTCACAGTAACATTGGTACCCTCAAAGTCTCGAATTGAAAAGTTGCATTCATTTCTTTAATAAACTGTACTGAAAGCGGTGATGCAGTAAGTAATGAAAAGAAGCGCGCTTCAGCTGTGCTATAGTAGGCACTGGAGTGAAAAGTGATTCTCAGAAAAATATCGAAAAAAAATTGAGTACGCCACAAAAGACGCGTCTTTTGCTCTGGTGCCAGATGAGCTGGCGGAAAAACGTAAAGGCGAGTGGTCTATGACGACAAATTAGAAAAAAATTCCTCGGCAATGATTGACTCTTATCATCAGGAATGACCTGAGCCATTTCGGTGATATTATAATTCAGGAGCCAGTTTTGAATCATCCCTCACTTTCCAGAAAATAGGAAAAGTTTAAAATAATTTAAAAAAATCGGAAATTGTTTTTTGGCAACAAATTTCTCCATTCAGAATCAATTTCAAGTTTCAAAATCAATTTTAAGTGAGCGGCTCGATGAAATCTTACCTCTAGCAGCGGTAGCTATTTTAGCATCATCATCGGTCAGTACAATTTTTGACCCATAGCGTGCTACACCTTGCTTGACCTTTTCTGCTGCCTCCACTGAAAACTCACTTTTTAGTAACAATAGTTATTATTACAATCATAATAATAACAATTACAATCATAATAATAACAATTATATTTATTACAATTTTGATTTAAGTGATAGTAATGACAATAATAACTACATGGTAATAATAATTACAATAGCAATAGTAATAGCGACCGAAATAACAATAACAGTAATACTGGAAATGTCAAAGCGCTGCAACAGGTAGCAAAAATGGCCAACGCACGGGCTGCCCGTGCGAAGATGCGTTTTTTGCAGAGTTCCCCGCAGTTT